CTTTTGTTGGTAATCAAATTTCGGAAATTCAAGATTTAACCAAAGTTGCCCATTGGAGACATGTACCTACGCATTGTAACCCGGCGGATGTTTATCTAGAGGATGTTCTGTAAAGGAACTTGTTAATTCAATATAAGTAACGACACCAGCAGCCTTCGATTAAGAGCTTGGATGTTCCGCTTCATCAATAAATTTCGACATGGTGCAAATCTTAATAACTCATTAACACTTTCAACACAAGAGTTACATCACGCCATTCATTTCCATAATGAAATTCATCTTTTACAGAAAGAGAGAAAGAAAAAAAGGCTCGTTACGCTATTTAAATCCTTTTCTCGAGTATACCGAAGGATTTCAAATACTCAAAGTTATAGGTCGATTGGAATCAGCAGATATTCCAGAAGAAAGGAAACACCCCATGCTGTTGCCAACCAAATGAGAATTAGTTGTGCCTTACTTTCGCCATCAACATCGGAAACACTACCATGCAGGACCAAAGGCACTCGTAGCACTGATAAAACTTCAGATTTGGATAGTCAATGCGCGCGATTTAGCAAGACACATCGTCAGATCGGGAAAACATTATATACGTTACAAGCCGAAGCTGATGAACCAGGTCGAGCAATTAACTCAATATCGCCCTTTTGCGCGGTGCGGTATTGATTTCTGCGGACCAGTCAACGTATATTTGCGTATTCGAGGCAAAACACCTTATAAAGCGTACATTGGGATATTCTATGTCTAGCGACAAAGGCGGTTCACATCGAACTTGTATCATCTATCCACGGACGCATTCTTAGCGTCATTGAAGCGCATGATTGGAAGAAGAGGTCTACCGTCTGACATCATTTGCGATAACGCTACAAATTTTGTGGGTGCTGGCAACAAACTAGCTGAATTAAAATAATTTTTATTTAAAACCGAAAACAAAGATGCAATTATAAAATATAGTGCTAACGAATTTATAAATTTAAATTTTATTCCTCCCAACCTCATTTCGGCGGTATTTGGGAGGCAGCAGTCAGCTGAGAAACTAACAACAGTCCTGGTTGAGATAGAAGCTGTGTTAAATTATCTGTCAATAACACTAATGTCATCGGATCCAAACGATTATAAAGTATTAATTCCGGTGTTTTTTTTATTATTGGTAGTGCACTTAGGCCACTCCCAGAGCGGAGATTGTCAGAAACGTACAACGGTGGAAACAGGTCACAAGCATTAAACAAATGTTTTGGAACAAGTGGTGAAATAAATACATCAACGAACTTCAAGTACGATCAAAGTGGTTTTCGGAGCGACCAAACATCAAAACGGCACATTGGAAGAGGTATAAACTGTATTCCAGGAAAGGACTCTAAAGTGCGTGTGGTGGACATTCGAACAACGAAACGAATCATTCGGCGACCAATTCACAAGCTAGCACTTCTACCTGTTTGAAATGCCTTGCAACGGGGCCGGGATGTTGGGTCACCGAGTGAGAACCAATGCATTATACGGTCATATGTTCTAATATATTTTTTGCTATTTCTTGTTCTCTATTTATTTGGCTAATATTCAAGGGCAAGCATTAGAAGTCATTCAACTCAATGCAGTTAATAATTGTATTTGCATTGTGTACATACATATTTGCTTGTTTGCGCTTGCTTTGTACACTTATGCTATCGCTATGTTTTCGTACACGCAAATATATAAATATTTAACATGTACTATGTACTTAATATGTAAGCAGCCTCTTGCAATGCTGCGTTCCCATTTTTTACATTTCTCTTTTTCTTAATAACTACATTATATACGAAGGAGCAATTGCGTAACTTATGTACTTGGGTTAATAGAAAACGAAACTATGTATTTAGCGGAAACTATGTATTGAACGGTATTGAAATATTGCTTAAAATATTATTTAAGGAAAAGAATTTTGCTAAAAAAAGTTAGTCTAACCACACATAGCGTCACTGTTTTTTGTACTTAATCGTTGCTGCAACTTCGCTTAAACTTTTCGCTTTTTCGATATTTGCGCGGTTACAAAAAAAAGCTTAGTAGCCCTACAAATCCCATATATATAGTTAATGTTCACTTAATGTTTCTACGATATCTTACACATTGACGGATATATACGGTATAAAGCCAATCGAAAATCTTATAAGGAGAAAAATGACCCGATTCAATCCATTGTTGACATACAGGAATACTATTTTCAGGAAAGGCTTCTTTCCAAATTTCAATAATATATCTCACAAATGGGTTCGGTAAAAAGTAAGCAATATGCACTTGGGTCTCCATATTCGGTATCTGCTGGCTTTTAACAAGTTTGGTCCGATATTGACAATTTTTAGACTCGAGATGAAGAAGTGCGAAGTCTTATCCCGATATATTCATTACTGCTGGATTTGTATACTGGAAAATGTGAGAATCCGATGGAATTTAAAACTGTGTTATATGGGAAGTAGGAGTGGTTGTGACTCGATTTCGGCCATTTAACCGTTATATGGGAGTGGTTTCATCCATTTTCATAGCGTTAAAGGGGATAACAAAACACTTGCTTTGAGCAAGTTTGGATGATTTGCTATTAGTGGTTTCGGAGACATGTACATCTCTGTTGAGATATATTTTATGTATCTCATCTCTCAACAAGAGTAATAGCTACCTTACTATGGTCTCCTACAACATAGCTCAACAAAATGTTTGTTTGTTTTCCGCATGGGTATTACTTAAGCCATTATAGCAATATAATCATTATTGATTTTCGCCAAAAAAAATTTTATATATATATATACGAATTTATTGAAATGAGAAAAAAAGGTGTGAGTTAAGTAAAAATTTAAAGCAAAGCATGTCAAGTTTACTTCAATCTGCTAAAAAATAAAAATCAGGACAAAAAATGGGCTCCAAATGTGTCATGTAACTCTTGCAGATATTTTCTGGATAGTGAGTTTATTACCTCTTTTCTTATAATAATTATTGACTAATTAGGTTATAATATTCGTTTTGTTATAGGCTGGTACCGAGATGAAAAAGAGCAATGAAGGTTGAAGTGTCGATAATTTGGTTCCATGGTGATCATCACACAGACTGTTATATTTGCATTGTTAATCCACTAAAAGGTAAAAATTCAAAGAAAACATTTTATCTTGATCTGCCTTCGACATCCGCTCCAATACCACATACAGAAAAAAAATTATAAAATCAATTACTCGCTCAGAATAACCATCGCTCAATTTCAATTCGTTCTAGAATCTGAACCAAAAATATCACGCCTCACAGTATCACAGGCGTTAGAAGATAAGGCAAGCTACATGGGACTAATTTTGGACAGGTAGCTTTCTTGGAAGCTACGGTAAAGAAAGCAGCTACAGCACTTTACAAGTATAAATTAATTATGGAGCCCAGATGGGGATTAACGCCTCGGTTAGCTCACTGGCTTTACACAGCAGTTGTAAGACCGATTATGACTTACGGTATATTAATATTGTGGCCAATAACGGAAAAGAAATACGCGGTAAGACGTATGGAAAGCCTACAAAGATAAAGCTGCAATGGGTTCCAGGACATAGTGATATTGACTGTGTAGGCAACTATCAGAACAGGCACCACCCCAGAACTCCTGTAAAGAGGGTATATATATACTAGTTGTATATATTTAATCGACAAACATGTTATAAACATAGCTGAGTATCGCTGGAATCAATCTCTGACTTGCTCAACAAGCAGGCAAACGTGGCATGAATGGAATATGGCCGGCACGACTATTAAAATTCAAACAGAACGATATAAGAACTCTAGTGGGAGTACTAACAGGCCACTGTCTAATAGGCAGACATGCCAGTAGACTTGGAACGCCATATAACGACTATGTAGAAGTTGTCGGGTGGCAGACCACCATTAAACATCTTCTATGCGATTGTAAGGCTTTCTTTAAAAAACCTCTCTCGGAGGTTGCACAAATAAACCTTTTAGTGCTGATGAAGTTCATCAGGAGTACGGGGTGGTTCAAAGAGGAGCCAATAGAATGAGAGGACTTTGGTCCCGGTGTTACCACAATGGGCCTCCTAAAGGCCTAGGTATGCCGTAAGACAGCCACTCTACCTACCTAATCAAAAATGATTTTCATATATCAGATTGGAAAATTAAAAATAAATTTTTAATCTCAAAAATCGGATTAAAATTAAAAGTTAATTCTAATTACCGGATTGAGAAATCAAAAAAAAAGCTTTAACTCAAATTGTTAAATAAAAAAAATGTTTATAAATTTTGAATTATTTTTTGGTTATCTATGTAAAGGAAGGATCATTTTTAATATATTGTAATTTTAACATAACATTGTCTCATTTAAATTTACTTATAATAAGTATTTCAGTTAGAATTATGCAAAACCTTTACTTTTTTATCTCTACATATCAGCTTTTAATTTTAAGAGTTTTTTTTTAATTGTTACTTAAATTTTTAAAGTAAAAAAACATTTATTATTTTGAATTCTAAACTAAAATTTTAAACTTTTATTCCAATTTCGAAATTAAACATTTAATTACTTGCGAATTTTGTAATTAGAAAATTTGCAACCCTTCCTGAAAGCTGGAAATAATAATAAGCAAAGTATTTTAGACTTTATTTACACTGCAGAAAATTTTTTTTATAAATAGTTACCTTAGGAAATAGAACGGCTCCATAATCTAAGGGAGCCAAAATCTGTCTCATCTTAAGAACACTATTTGAGCAAAATTTTTCTCTGATATCTTCACTGAAGTTCGATTTATCTATGGTAAATTGTACAAATTGATGAAATTTAGAATTGGGTTATACGGAAAGTAGACGTAAGTTTTGTCCGAGTTTTCCCCAGTTTAATATAGGGATGTAAAGCACCAAATTTGTTTCAAATTGATCGAGTAGTTGCTCAGCTATAAAACTCTACCTAAATTTAAGTTATACTCAGTGCAACATGACATATACAGTACAGCAATTGATTACTATAAGTTAATTCAAATCGAATAGAGTAATAATTTTACCTTTATTTGTTTCGGGAACAACATGTATCATAATTCCACTATCTCCCGGAGTATCGTCATGATCTTGAATATGAAATTCTTCACTTTCCTTTTTAAAAGGATTACCTTCATTTAAAGACTGATAATTAGTATCCACATTCAAAGCCATTTCTGAAAACATGAAATAAATGTGATAAAATTCAGATATAATTAAAATAATTAAAAAGGAATAATAAGAGGTAAATAAATGTTATTTACAGAGCTTTCAAAATATGTAAATGTTCATATAAGACCGATAATTCGGCTTCAAATACCAAATATAAGACACATTTTTTTTAACTATTTCGGCAAATTTTAAACTTATTCCGATTGAACATTAAGAAAGAGGTTCCAGAACAGCGTTACAAAGCGTCGATCCGTTCCCACGACAGTCGAGTCTAAGTAATCGGAACTATTCCTCGAAATTATTTCAGGGATGTTTTCTGCCGCTAAAACAACCACAATAGATTTATATATGCATAAGTCCATTTTGGTTCAAATTTTTATTTTTACCACTTAACGGAGTCATTTCTCACACACAAATGAAGGCTGCTTTAAATACAACTTCAGTATTTCCTATTTTTCGAGCTTCTTCTTATTGAGTTTCAAAATGGCTATACTTAAGTATAAAGTACACTTATTAATACTACTACACGATTATGGCAAACTAACTGAACCTTGGCAGGTTTCCTTTGGAAAACCGTTTCTTAACCCAAGAAACTAACAGGAGAGAGCACAAGTATGCTACCGTAAGAAGCAGATAGAGAGAGCTACTAATTTATGCTAGCAGAAAAGAGCTACGGCCATATGAAGAAACAGCTGTTAAAACACATGTATAAACAAGCGATATTTAACGCATTCGATTTGATTTTGTTTACTTTTATAGCATTGAATGGTAAATTTAAAAATTCGATTGAATAATTTTCAAGTGTTAATATGATGTGATAATTAAGAAAACATTTTAATTTTTCTTGCTAATTTCTGCTAGTTTTCCGTTTCTTTACTTTTTCGTTATATCATTCTTTGTAAGAACAACTTTTTCCTTTTCGCATTCTTCTTCTCCCTACCAGCTAGCAGCTACCAACAACGTAATGCGCGTCCGCAACGAGTTTACAAATTTTATAATGAATTTGACTTTTTTAAATAGGTCATCAGGCAATTAGAGTTGCTAGATGTGTACATTTTTTGGAAAAAATTAAACCTCGATTTTGAATTGAAATATTCTTGAAGACACAAATAATTTTTTGAAATGCAAAAACACTTCATAACATCTCCGATACAAATTATTATTAATTGTTTACAACTAAATCATCAGTTTATAGATTTTTATACTTTCGCAACCTGTTGCTAGTGTAATAGTTTTGTTCACCTAACGGTTGTTTGTATCACCTAAAACTATTCGAGTTAGATATATATTTATATATATATACTAGGCGCCCTCCGCTGCGCTCCGGGACGCTCGCTCGCCTACGTCCGCCCCCCGCCGAGCGCGAGCTAGCTCGCTCTTATGTTAGTTGATTCTCGACAGCAGCAGAAAACTTTTATATATTAGGTTGGCCGTTATTTCCCTTCCGCTTTTTTGTCTTTTGAATTTCGCGGCTATGTACAAAGCGCTACAGAGCTCGTATCTGGCAACACTATACATAATTTGAAAGGTCTTGACATAATCTACAAAACAACGCTATGCATGATTAGTTTGGATATTGCGTTCAACAGTTATAGACGTGTAAACATGGAGTTTACTAACGCCGAAATTCGCGCTATTTTAAAGTTTTCCTTCGTTAAAGGCAAATCCGCTAGAGAAACGTTCCGTGAGATTAATGGTGTTTTGGGGGATGGTACTCTTCATCATCACTTCGAACCGCGGAGGAATGGTTTCGACGATTCAGAGCCGGTGAAAACGACACCATGGATAAGCCAGCCGGCGGAAGACCTGTGACGACAAATACCGATCAAATCATGGAATACATCGAGTTAGACCGGCATATGGCATCTCGTGACATCGCCCAGGAGATGGGAGTTGGTCACCAAACCATTTTGAACCATCTGCAGAAGGCTGGATACAAAAAAACCTTCTGGACCGAATCAACGCCTGCGATATGCTGCTGAAACGAAACGAACTCGTCCCATTCTTGAAGCGGATGGTGACTGGCGACGAAAAATGGATCACATACGACAATATCAAGCGAAAACGGTCGTGGTCGAAGGCCGGTGAATCGTCCCAAACAGTGGCCAAGCCGGGATTGACGGCCAGGAAGGTTTTGCTGTGTGTTTGGTGGGATTGGAAGGGAATCATCCACTATGAGCTGCTCCCATATGGCCAGACGCTTAATTCTACCATCTACTGCGAACAACTGGACCGCTTGAAGCAGGCGATCGACAAGAAGCGTCCAGAATTGGCCAACAGGAAGTGTTCCACCAGGACAACGCCAGACCACACACTTCGTTGATGACTCGTCAGAAGCTACGGGAGCTCGGATGGTAGGTTTTATCGCATCCACCATATAGCCCGGACGTAGCGCCAAGTGATTACCACCTGTTCCTGTCCATGGCGAATGCCCTTGGTGGTGTGAAGTTGAACTCAAAAGAGGCTTGTGAAAAGTGGCTGTCCGAATTCTTCGCAAATAAGGAGGGGGCTTCTACGAGGAAGGTATTATGAAGTTGCCGTCTAGATGGAAACAGATCATCGAACAAAACGGCGCATATTTTAACTAAATCCGATCACTGTAACACTTTTTATAAAGCATTGAATGAGGAGCAAAACAGCGGAAGGGAAATAACGGCCAACCTTATATCATAGAGAGAAATGATCAGGATGAAGAGACGAGTTGGAATTCGGGTGACAGTATGTGCAAGCTGCAACTTGAGTAAAAATTTAGATATCTTATTATATTATGAAACTTTCTCCTAAACCGCTAAAGCTATAATAACAAAATTCATTGGGAACAAATGTTTTTAGAACCTATATCGACAGTGTGAAAATGGATGAAATCGGGTGATAATCCTGGCCACTCCCCACGGTACTGTTAAAAACTACTAAAAGCGCGATAAATCAAGCCCTAAGCACGCCAGAGACATTAAATTGAGATGACTTAATAGGAACCGCGTTGAAAATTAGACAGTGGGCGCGGCACCGCCCACTTTTAGGTCAAAACCCATATCTTGGGATTTGCTTAACCGAAAAAAATTCGGTACATAACATTCTTTTCATATTTCTATACTATAGTGCGAAAATGGCCGAAATCGGAGTACAACCACGCCTACCTCCCATATAACACAATTTTAAATTTCATCTGATTGTTTTACTTTCCACTATGCAAATCAAGCAACAATGATTGTAACGGGGTAAAACTTTGCGTGAATAATGCGCTTAAAGTATGCCACCTTGTGACGAAAAATTGTCTAAATCGAACCAAAACTGTTCAAGCCCCAAGGTACTGAATGTGTGGACCAGTGCCTATAGTTGACTTTTTACCAAAAATATTGGTCAATGTATAAGATATATAATATAATTGAAATTCATATAACAAAATAAATAAGTGAAACTCTCGATAATAGAATGTCTTTGTGTCAAAAAGTGGTTGAATTGGATCAATACTTATCTCAAATATAAATTTTGTCAGCACCTGAAGTTATTTCCAGGGCTTTGATCCTTGCAAGTTGCTAGAGTATAAAATGTTCGGTTACACCCGAACTTAGAACTTCCTTACTTGTTATAAATTATATTTTAAGCGGTTTCATGAGAAAAGAACATAAACATATTAAAAATACTATGGCAACCAACCATTTTGAACCAAGTTATAAGAAGAAGCACGCTATCTAGTAACACAACCTGAATCATGTGTAGAATGTTTTCAACTTTCAAAAATTTAAGTGAAAACATTTTGACATTCTTACAAAATATTATAGTCAGGTTAGCTCTTATATTAGAGAAGTAAGTTATTTCAAATTAGTTCAACATTTGAGGTAAGGTACTGTTAAGTTTTTCGACTCTACATAAACTTTTCATTTTTGCTAAAGAATATTGAAATAATTAAAATTAAAAAAATCATTTAAATAAGTATTTAAGTAAATGACCATTAATAACACCTATATTTTTATGATTAAAAGCAACTTTAAATCCCATTGATTGCCCCTGAACATGGTATTTTAAAATTCCCAAGAAGTTCGTAACACCCGGAAGGATACTTTAAAGACCCCATGAAATAAATACATATATATATGATCAGCGTGATAGTGCGTCAGTATACTATGTGTACCGATATGAAATGAGTTTTTTTGTAAAAATGAAATACTAATTTTGAATGGAAAAGAAAAAAAAAATTATTCAAAGCAATGACCTTTGAGTTTTACACATTTTGACCACCTTTCTGGCAATTTGTGGATACCATGTCAATAGAAATGTTCGTCTTTTCAGGCAAACTAATCAGACACCCAATTTTCGACTTATGCGTAGGAATCGAAGTGGTTATCCTGAACCGATTTTGCTTTGTGTGCAGTTGCATTTTTGTGTAACAAAATTACTTTGCCGTGTCTTCTGGCCATTCTGGTCGCAATGCATGGTTCAAATTGATAATTTTTGTCTGTAGCGATTATTATTAACCGTTTTACCAGATTTTAGAAGCTCATAATACACCACAACCTTCTGATCCACACAGAGCATTGCCTTCTTACCGAATCGATCTGTTTTTTCAGTCGATGTTTATGGTTGTTCCAAATTAAAATATGATTTTCTCCGATTAGGGTTCTTAAAATAAATTAATTTTTCATCGCCAGTGACAATTCGAAGCTGAACTGATTTTCTATCTAGTCTACGAAGCGAAATTTCACAATTGTTTTTTGGTTTTCCATTTGTCTTCTATTCTATTCATGTGACTCCCATTCTTTCCGATATTTCCCATAGCTTTCAAACGGTCTGAAATTGTTTGTTGTGCAACATTTAACATGGCTGTCATTTGCTTTCAACTCCAGGTATCATCTTCATCCAATATTGCTTGCAGATCGGCGTCTTCAAAATTTTTGGTGGTCTTTCACGTTCTTCATTTCTTACATTAAAATCATTATCTCTGAACCGTTGAAACCATCTTTTGCAGTGATAGGGCATGACCACCATGTTCCTCGACAACCCAAGCAGGGACTAGATAACCGTTACAACAACAACAAGCATTTGATGCGACTCTGCAGCACTTTTCTTCATCGCTTTCCGGTACAAAATTTGACATTTTCAACACAATGAAATAATATGATGTGGTTTTGTTCAACGTCATACCAACCAAACAGAAAAAAAAATAAGGCTTGTTCACAACAAATGTTCCTTACCAACACATTTATATCTTACCGCTCATTTCGTACCGGTATACCTGTTATACGCGAACTAGTCCCTCAGTTTTTGAGATAGCGATCTGAAATTTTACACACGTCTTTTATTCCAAATAAGCGGCTCATTCGTTGGAACCGATATTGGGCCACTATAACATATAGCTGCCATACAAACTGGTCGAACAAAAGCAAGTTCTTTTATGGAAAAAGTTTTATTTGATAAGATATCTTCACGAAATTAAGCATGGAATATTGTACAAAGCAACGCTACATTCTCTGAACAAATTCTTCAGATTGGCCCAATATAGGATATAGCTGCCATTCAAACTGACCGATGAAAATCAAGTTAAAAATCTTTGGCCGGTTACATATCTACATATTTCCTATACTAATTTATTTTAAAGGTGGTAATGTGTGTTTATTTTAGGATCGTATATTAGGTAAATAGGGTCGGCTTTAGAATAACGTCCCACGCTTTCGTGGATAAAATGGGTATGGGCGGATAGAGGAGATCCTCCAAATCAAGAATATATATAGATATAGCCGCGGGAAACTTATAGTTTTCGAGATATTTACGTTTAAAGTTGAAAATCTCAACTATTTAAAGTACGTATTTTTGCGATTTAAAATAAATTATACACTTATATTTTTCACTTTTATATCCACTAACACTTGACTAATTCGTTTTTAGAAATTAGTTCTGCGCAAAAAAACCTTGATACACCCCGGTGTTGGATCGACCAGGGTTATTTTTTTTTGAAGTGCGGCCGAAGGCCGCCAACGCAGAAAGGAGTTCTGCGCAAAAAAACCTTGATTCACCCCGGTGTTGGACCGACCAGGGTTATTTTTTTAAAGCGCGGCCGAAGGCCGCCAACGCAAAAAGAAGTTCTGCGCGAAAAATATTTTGATACACCCCGGTGTTGGACCGACCAGGGTTATTTTTTTGAAGCGCGGCCGAAGGCCGCCAACGCAAAAAGAAGTTCTACAAGAAAAAAGTAATATTGTCATAGAGGGTATAACATAATACTTAACATCAATGCTTTGTAATAGTTTATTTCTCTAGGTTTTGGATTCCTGTATTTGGGGTATTATCTGTTTTAATTTCTTTCAGTTCAATTACAAAAGATGTCGATAAGGTAACACTGGTTATTTGAAATTTTGCAACCCTTTTGTTATTGTCAGAATTAATAAAATTAAACAATAATTTAATTATTGAATTAAACTATTTTTGCATAATATAATGTAAAATAAAAGTGTACAAACGAATTAGTGAAGTGTTAGTGGATATAAAAGTGGAAAATATAAGTGTATAACTCATTCGAAATGGGAAAAATGCGTACTTTAAATAGTCGATATTTTGAACTTTAAACCCAAATATCTCGAAAACTATAAGTTTCCCGCGGCTATATCTATATATATTCTTGATCTGGAGGATCTCCTCTATCCGCCCATACCCATTTTATCCCCGAAAGCGTGGGACGTTATACTAAAGTTTTCCCGGTAAATAGTTGAATATTTAGGATAAAAAACCATATAAAACTACTTATCATACCCCTGTATGTCATTATCTTATATCCATGCATACATTCAATATAAATACATGTCTACATATATATAGAGCTGTATAGTATCATCGACCTTATATTGAAATAGCTAATCAATGGAGGCACATTTTTTAACAGGTGACACCCAAATATAATAGTTAATAATGAATTGATTATTATTTACAAAATATGTCTACATACATATGTAAATACATTATTACGTACATTACGTTACGAAAATACTCAATAACACACGACAAATTTCAAAGCCAATTGCTCTACAAAGTTTATTATTGATATTTATTAATATACACTATATAACACAATTCTACGCAAACTTTTAAAACGTCCATATATTAAAGTATTTTTTATTACGTTGTTGCTTATATATACATATTATTTTTCTTCTTGTCAATCTAATGCTATATTTCGCAGTTCTGTCGCAGAACTGCTTTACTTACCCATGGCTTTATTTTTTTTAAAAGAGAAGAACTCTTAACACCAATTACACAACAATTTATTTATGTGGCCAAACATTTGCGATTTAAAATACAATCTTTGCATCTTCTTAATATTTACACAGACTCATCATGTTTATACAAGTTAAACTATGCGCAGCTGATTTGCCGAAATTGCCATATCGAAAATTTAAAAAAAAGCTGCCATACCGCTCGGATTTTAATATAATAACCATCATACAAATATAATGATCAAAAACAACTGACTTAAGCAATCTGTTATATACTTTTTCAAAGGCTAATTTTAACAAAGTAAAATACTATTTATGCTATAAGTCAAACGGTAAATTTTTTAATTTGTGTTCAAAATTGCATTCTTTCGCAACAGAACATGTAAGCTATGAAATATGATACTTATTCGTATCTGTGCATTTATTTATGTTATTATTTATTCCATTCAATTAATTCCTGTATTTCAAACAATACTTTCAAAAGAGAAAGTTGCATTTTTATTATTTCAATAAGAAGTAAAAATATTTAACAAACTTGAAATCAATAATATGATCTCTAAAGTAAGCGCATCGCTGACAAAAAATCTAAAATTTCGAGAATTGTCACGAATCTCAGAACAAATCAAAATTATTAGAATATTCGAGTGGCGAAGTTTTGTTAGAAATCTAATTTAAAATACTTTGTAGGAAAGAAATATATCTTCCGTATATTATAATATAAAGATATTGGAACTCCAACAAAAAATTTATTTAAGAAGTCTTTATGTTTAAAAACTAAACTTAGAACTGTATAATAATATTTTATTTTTTTATGTTAAGAGTTGTGATAAACTATTGTACATATATTAATCGCAAAATGCTGAAATACAAAGACAGCTACCGGGTAGGCCTATCGTATTTTATACTATAAAGATATTGCAACTTCAACACATAAAATAATTTATTTAAAACTAAATCTTGCACTATATAATAATATGATAATGTTTTATGTAAAGAGAATGAAATATTGTACATATTTTCATCACTAAATGCTGAAAAGTAAAACGTAAATAAAATTTGTGATTAAATATATATATACTTAAATCAGAGAAAACATCGGCTCAGTAATTAATTCTTGATATATCTACAATTATAAGTTTGCTTAATTATTTAAATGAATAATTGAAACTTGTATGTAAATGATTAATTTTGCTTTTTTGATTATATGTACTATTATGACCTATAATATCAATTTCTGTTACAATGGTTATTTGTTTCCGTCCATTCATAGTTGAATTGCTTTTTCAGTTTGTTTATTAATAAGTTAATTCAAATTCTTAAAAATATGCCGCTTATTTACTTATATCAACATGGTATAATATCATATTTTGTTAACATCAGTAAACATCATTGAAAATATTTATAAATAATTATTACGGCGCTTTTTGTTATGCCCAACCCGTTTCAACCCCTCGCTACTCAAACTCAACAGAGGCGGCCATGTTGATTTTATTGTTAACGTACGCCTCGAAAGCGGGGAAAGTACTGTGAACGGGCACTTTCGCTGTTCCTTTATATCATGGTAATAGATTACTTTTATGGGTCTCACTGCGAACATAAGTTATATGAAGATTTAGTGCCGTTTTCTCAATACTCGGATCCTAACCGTTAGTAGTTTAACTGGATGATAGCTTTAAATAACAGAACCGTTTTCACCAAGTTGTGTTTCGCTTACCTACAGATAGTTTGATTATTGTGAATGCGTGCAAAAAACAGTCTACCAAACTAGTATTGTAAACATGCAAAACTGTCTAAACGTTATGAGCCATGTAAGTACACGATCAGACGAGGACTCTTTTCGCCGTCTTAACCGATTTCCTTTCATGTTTGCAACAGCGCTCGGTTTCAAAGAAATATTTACATTAAATTCGTCAGATTAAATGTTATTAGTTCTTTTTTGCATGTAATATGCTTATATGAATGCAAATATACATAATATACCATACTTTTAATAATAATGCAGGACAATAGATAGAGTACGCATCTGAACGCCGTATAAGCAGCTGATTTTTTTTCATGATCTGGTTAGAAACTAACTAGGACTCCTTCTTTCGGTAAAATTTACAAGAACTTAACTGTCAGATGTTTGCTAACCAGATATAGATGAAACCATTTTTCAATATGTTGCCGATAAAGTTCTAATAAAGCTTTTAACCATATATTGAGAAAACGGCCCTTTTACGAATCTTCCAAGGTTATGTTTTGTCTTCAATCAATAGTAATATCTATAGATATCATAAAGTCTCATTCACAATCAATTTTCCTCGCTTTGCGTGAAGTTTATACTAAAACAACGAAGCGCAGAAAACAAACGGTATCCCACAATGAAATCTTTGCTTGCAGTGTTTCTGTCTAATAGAAATGGGGACTGAAGCTTGGCAAAGCGTAAAAAGATGAGAGTTGCTCAACATTTTGCTTAGCTTCGACTCGAAAACTTTTTATGTGAAGGTACTCATACAAAAGCGAATGAGGCAACATCATACATTACTGACAAGCTACAACTATGTAGTACTATTTTACCGACCGTCAAACGCACAACACTATCGACCGGCGAGCCTATATGCCATAAGTGATGGTCTTTAGGCTATACACCTGGATCTCGTCTGCAGGAGACTTTCGCCATATAATTCGTTGATAGTCGCGATGTTCAGATTCAACCAACACTTGCCTGAACATTTTCTGTGCTGGAAGGTGCCGAAGCGTTGAGCACCACGAGGAACTACGTTGTGACCGAATGATGAGAAATGTAGTAGCAATTAGTATGACCGTAAGGTGGTTGTACTAATTCCATATGTGCGAGTGCTGCATACTCCCTCATAAATGAAATGTAATTTTTCGGTACGGCTATGAGTGGTCTCGAAGATGTGCCCACATTCATTCTATGGCAGATCGTCAACCACTGCGATTTCCTCCATTTGCCAAAAGTTAGACACCATTTCCTCCAACCGGTGGTCCTCCCTGTCTAGCGAAGTGGTGAATGTGAGCAATGATTCCTTTGCAGGAAGAGTCACGGCTGCTGGACCAAACACGACCCATCCAAAGCGGGTACGCTGGGCAAAAGGATCGTCTGGTCCTCCCCGATGACTTCACCTTCTATGAGTCGCCCCTACACGTCCGCGCCGATAAGAAAGTCGATAATTACAGGCGTACCGAACCGGGTGTCCGCCAAATCTATGTCTCTCAAATATGGCCATTGGTTCATGTCAATCTTCTCTGCTGAAGTCGGGGAAGTAATGGACGATAAAACCAAGGCATCAATTCTCATTTCAAAGTTAGTTGTTGTTGATCTAAGAGTGAACGTAACGCTGCCTTTCACTCGAGTATTGATGGCAGCAAATACACCTTCTACCCTTACTTCACAATTTCGTCGATACAGCTGCAAACAGTTTGCTAGACGATTAGTCACAAATCTAACCTTTGATCCGGGATCGCATAGAACTCGTGCCATTCGCTGCACTGATGCTTTTCCAAAGGCATACGCACGCGCGGTTACTAAAAGGGTTATCGGCTAAGGTTGGCAGCGGGGGTCTTGCAGGTGCGGCTAGTCATGCTGTTGTGGTTGTAGGCACCTCCGCAGGTACCCCATTGCATACGGTCGGCGTCGTTGTAGAGGCAAGCGTTGACGTGTGGTTGAACGTGTCTCGGCATAGGATTGTGTTTTGCTTACGACCACAATTTCGACAGCTACCAGACGAACACTGTCGATAAGAATGACCCGTACGTAAGCAGTTGTAACATACCTTCAGTCTCTTTAGGACTTCAAACCGTTGCTCGATACTAAGAGCCAATAATGTAGGACACCTGACGATACGATGCGCTAACCCGCAATGACCACACAGAGCTGCATCCATGGTAGCCACATGCGTCCCCATGGGCCGTTGCTGGCGGCAAACCATTAATGAGAGCGATGGTTTAGGAGCAGGGCTATTAGTTATGAAATTTCAAAAGGTCTTTTAACTGTGGTATTTCTGCACTAGGCCACCTCATTCACCAATCTGGCTTAGTTATCGCATCTAACCATTTACACATGTCTCCATCAAAAAACGGAATAGCTGACGTTTCCAATTTGAGATCCACTAAATGGCGATCTAGAGATATTGTGAGACAATTGTGCGCTCCGTCAGCGACATTACATTCAACCCTTGACGATCCGATGAGACGATTAAGCCTGCTGCATGCCGCAGTATACAGCTCCTCTACTGATTCCAAAAGTGCATCATGTGGGCCAATCTCGGAGGACGTAGCTCCTACAATCAGACGATTATGGTTCTCCATGAAGCGCTCAAAATGTTATTCAAGCGACATGAGCTCTTGTTGAAAGTGAAATACATCACGACCTTCCATGGCACTTTCCGAGACACGTGCGCTTTATTGCTTTCACCGTTGATGTACGCCAATGGAGCTCCGCCATGAAACCCCACAACCGCAATTACAAAACCAAATTAAAAAATATTAGTCCTAACAAGAGGCACCAAAATGTGAACTAATTAGATTACCAACGGGTAGAGTTCTCAATGCTTTATTGGAGTTTGTACAATTATGAACGGTTTGCTTGACACCAAACCAGAGATGATAACAATCAGCACCGAGTTACAATCAGAGAAGAGCTCCTCCGATATTTATAGGAGTTCAACGGAATTTAAAATACCGTAACTTTAAATATGCATAAACAAAGATAATTATAAAGGGAATGAATGATAAAAGAGAGATGACAAATATAAAACTTAGATAAGACAGTATTGCCAGATCAAATTTGACATTATTAGAAAATAAACTTAAACTAATGTAAATAACTCTAAACAACATTTAAATATTAAAAGTTATAAGCAACCCCATTCTCCTCCATCCTTCAATTCCGCCCTTTTTCTCACGGACTCCGAGTGAACTAGAGGTCAGCAGCAGCAATCAGTTTATTTGTGGAGTATAGTTTTTATTGTAAAATAAATTAATCAAACCTTTTTTAGAAACGCAATCATTAAACTTACATTGAATTTTTCTATCAAAACAAATGTCTGACAGAAAAATAAGCAAAATTGGCATTGGCAATTGGAATATTTTCCAGTACGTTTAAAAAAATTGTCTAAATTTAATTTATTCTCCAAAACTTT